TCTCTGAAATCAATTACAAACATATATATATTTTAAAGAAATTTGAAGGCGTTTCTCTACTGTCTTATGCTTACCAGAGTTTTCTTAGGAAGCCGGATGCCTTTCCACATCCTCTTTTTTTTTTAATGTAACCTATTATTTGTTTATTTTTTGTTTGTTTACTTTTGTTTGGAAGTTTATAGTATCTTTTCCCAATATCTAGTGGGCCCACTGAATAAGCTTTTAAAAAGATTTCTTTGGCTGCTGTGTGGAGAGTAGATGGGGAGGAGGCAGACACAGGCAGGAAACTGTTGGAATAATCCAGGCAAGAGATGACGGGGGCTCGGACGAGCGTGGTGGCTGTAGAGACAGGCAGGAGAGGATAGATTCAGGATAGATTTTTGAAGGCAGGGCTCATAGAATTCGCTGTTTGTTACGATTATTTTTTAATTGTGGTGAAATACACATAATAGAAAATGTATCATCGTGACCATATTTAAGTGTGCAGTTCAGTAGCACCACGCACACTCACACTGCTGGGTGACCGTCGCCATCACCCAACTCCAGAGCTCTTTCCTCTTGTAAGACTGGAACTCTGCCCCCATAAACGCTAACTCCCCATTTTCCCCTCCCCTCAGCCCTTGGTAACCACCAGTCCACTTTCTGTTTCTCTACATTAGGTACCACATATGAGTGAAATCATACAGTATTCCTCCTCTCGTGTCTGGCTTATGTCATTCAGCATAGCGTCCTCGATGTCCATGTTGCAGCCTGCGCCAGAATTTCTTTCCTTTTCAGGGCTGAATGCTATTCCACTGCCTATACGCACTCCATTTGGCTTATCCATTCCTCTGTCGCTGGGCACCTGGGTTGCTTTAGTTATTGTGGATAATGCTGCTGTGAACATGGGGGTACAAATACTTCTTCCAATCCCTGCTTCCAAGTTCTGTTGGAGTTATATTCAGAAGTGGAACTTCTGGATCACATGGTAATTGTATTTTTATCTTTTCGAGGAACCATCATACTGGTTTCCATAGTGGCTGTGTCGTTGCACATTCCCACCAGCAGCGCACAAGTGTTCCAGTTTCTCCACATCCTCACCAACACTAGTCATTTTCTGTTTTGGGATAATAGCTGCCCTCCTGGGTCTGATAGGATTTGCTATTTGTGACGGGGTTGGTAAAGGAAACAGAGTTCCAAAGTATGACTCCTTCTCTCCATCCATCCATCCATTCATCCATCCATCCATCCATCCATCCATCCATCCATCTTCTGTATACTCTTTCATAGCACTAACCATAACTTGTTTATTCATGCATCAATTTCATCATCCACTCATCCACCTTGGCAATCGTCCTTCCCTCCACCTACCAAACCTTCCATCCATCTCCCACTGACTTATCCATCCAATAGCTATATGTACGCATCTTTAAACCTCAAGCACATTGCTAGGTGCTGTGGGGTGACTACGACTCGGGTCCTTTCAGATTTGTCTTTGCAACACGGGAAGTAGCTAAAGCTTAATAACTAAGATCCCAGGGAGAGAGTGACAAGTGCCATGGGGCCTGGAGCTCTCTACTCCAAGCCATCTCTGAAGAATTTGCAGGAGGCTGGCCTTCAGGAGCCCAGTGATCTGTGATTTACTGAGAAGGTTGCTTCTCAGCTCCTGCTTTCTTAATTCCTCATCTCCCTCCTCTGTCTTGCTCTTACTTCTGCTCCCCTGGGGGAGCCCTGGCTTCAGGCTGGGATTTCTCTTCTGAGGAGATAAGGTCAACTAAATGACACTTAAGGCCTGAGTTTTTTGTGTGTGGGGTTGTTTTAAATTTCCTTTTTTTTGTTTTGTTTTGTTTGTCCTGGTTACATATAGGTATTACTGCAACCAAAAACCTGAGTAAGAATAGGGATGTGTGGATAGGACTTTGGTCCCAGATTGGGAGCCGGTTTAGAGGGAGGAAATGAAAGATTTAGATGAAAGGGTTATTGCTGACTGGATAGATGACAAGATGGATAATGGAAGGATGCATGGATGCATGGATGTTTGAATGACAGATGGATGGATGTTTGGATGGGTGGATGGATCATGGATAGATAATGGTTGGATGAAGAGTGGATGATGGATGAGGGGTGGATGATGGTAGACCAGATGGGTAAGAGCAGTTGGTAAAGTCTGTCCCCATGGGTCTTACCTAAAGCGTCCATTAACAGTCTTGTTCCTCAGAGGTGGTATGATAGAGTGGTAGGAGTTCAGTCCCGTGGAGTCATACACAGGGAGGTTTGGATGAAGGTTGACTGTGACCTGCTTTGGGAAATGCTGGCCTCAGGCTGGGACCACCAGAGTGAGCCCACGGCCTCAGGTGGAGCTAGAACAGAGGAGGGGACAGGAGGGAAAGAGCAGCCAGGGCCCTCCCCCACACCTGCAGAGCTGCATGTACTCAGGGCTCCCCCACCCCGAAGTGGAGTGGGCGTGAGGGTGGGGGTTGGCGGGCAGGATCAATGGGGCATTCTATGAAGATGAATGCATCTTCACCTCGGGCAGCAGAAGGCAGAAATGGGGAGGGCCAGGAGCGGGGCCAGAGGGTGGATTTACAGCTAAAGAGGAACCCGGGTCTGCTCACTAAACCCCAGAGCCCCCAAAGGGCCTGTCTCGGAGGACAGAGCCAGCACGGGGCTGAGCGGGGATGACGGGGGTACTTTCTGGATCTCGCTAACTCACAGCAAGGTGAACGGGCAAATGCAGTGTTGTTTTGTCTTCCCGTTGGGTTTAGTAATTTTGTGGAGGAGAGTCAGCGAGTTCTTAAGAGAATAGGATTCATTCACACATTCAGGAAACGTTCGCTGAGCGCCTGCTGGGTCCAGGCACCTGAATAAAAGCAGTCACTGCCACCCTGGGTCGTGCTGGGGCCCCACTCCAGCCTCTGGGGGGCGTGACAGCGGGGGCCCCTAAAACCTTTTCTCAAGGCCGTTGACTAAGGTGACAGGAGCAGAGGGAAGAGGAGGAAATCAATATATATTGAAGCATCTGCCTTTTGCTCAAGTGCTAATCTGGGCTCTTTAAATAAACTAGTAATAGTAGTAATAATAATAGAGGTTTGTTTGCGCCAGGTTCTGGTCGAAGCACTTTGCAGGCTCATTTAATCCTCACCACAAGCCTAGGAGATGGGTGTAATGATCAGTCTCCTCACTGAGGCTTGGGGAGGTGCAGTGACCTGCCCATGTCACACAGTGGTAAATGGCAGAGTCAGAATTTGAACCCAGGTCTGCTGACTCCCGGATCATGTATGTCTCCCCTCTATGTTATGCGGCCTCATAGAGGTGGGAGTCTGGACGGAGGAATGATTTCACCCGTGAATGGGATGTCAGTTAACTACCCAGCCAGGTCTCCCGCGTGTAGCATGAGGAATGAGAGGCTCAGGGTCACATGGCAAAGCCACCACAGAGCCCCCCAAACACATGTCATTTCTCAGGGATGTGTGAGTGGGTATATGCTTGTGGGAGAGAAAACAAGAACGAGGGAGACAAACCGACAGACAGGCAGGCACACATCACACACACATGCGCACCTGGGCCGGTGGTGGTCCCCCTGCAGGGCCGTGTGCTTGTCCCACAGACGCTGCCCTAGCCTAGCATCCCACACACTCTATGAGAAAATCCCTCTGTCACTCTATCACCACACCTTCTTCTGGACCCCGAAATGTACCCAGGAAGTCCTCAGACATGTGGCAGTTTTTGTTCTTGGAAAAGGTGCCCAGAGGAACCATGGTGAGGACCTGCCCGAGTCCCAAAACAGGGCTGCCAGTGGCATGTGACTGTTCCCCAAACTCAAGTCCACCCCACCGCAGACTGAAAGCACCCGTGGGGGTTTCCAGGAAAGCCTCAGGTCCCAGTAACCTCGCAGGAACACAGCTACAGCTGCCCCAGGGCTTGGCTTTGCGGGGGCAGCACCGTGAGTCCGGAGTGGTTCTGTGCGTGAAGAATGTCAGTCCTGTGACTGCAGTGACACACCTTGGCCATGTGACCAGGCTGTGTGCATGTGACCGTGGGCAGCCAGTCGGCTCAGGAACCACCGGGAGGTCTTGACTCCCAGCCTCCTCGGGAGCCGGGCGTTTTACAAATGTGAACTCATGGGTAATCTCCTGATAACTATTATCCCCATTTTAGAGGTGAGTCAACTGATGCCAGAAAGGTCCATGCCTGAGCCCAGACAGGAATTAAATGTCAGAACCAAGATGCAGACTCTGGCTGAAAGCCTGTGTCCCTGTGGCCGCCCGGGAGGCAGGAGAGAAGTGTGGTTGAGAACGCAGACTTCGCTTCAGCCCTGGGTCCTGGCTCTGCCAGCGACGAGGCCTTTGACCATGGGCTATGTGTGTAGCCTCTCCAAGCCTCAGGGTCCTCATCTGTGAAGTGGGATTGTCAAATACAAGCTGGTGGTTAGATGGCTGATGTCGCTTGTAGCTCAGCCTGGCCCGTGGTAATTGCCCCATAAGACCTGGCATTCTTTTTATTGATTAAAAATGTTTTTATTGATTTTTTTTTTGAGAGAGAGGAAGGGAGAGGGAGAGAGAGAGAAACATCAATGTGAAGAGAAACATCTATTTGTGAGAGAGAAACATCGAAAACATTGATTGGTTGCCTCCCACACACACCCTGACCAGGGACTGAACCCACAACTGGGCATGTGCCCTGACCAGGAATCAAACCAGCTACCTTTGGGTACACGGGACAATGTTCAACCAACTGAGCCACATTGGCCAGGGATATTGATTATCTGTAGAGAGAGAAAGGAAGGGAAAGAGAGAGGGAAATATTGACTTGTTGTTCCACTTATTTATGAATTCATTGGTTGCTTCTTGTATGTGCCCTGACTGGGGATTGAACCCACCACCTTGGCATATGGGGATGGTGCTCTAACCAGCGGAGCTACCCGGCCGGGCCGGCCTGGCATTCTTATTTGTTAAATCATTCTGACCTTTTCCTGCCGGGCCCACCCGGCTCACCGCCGGCTGCCTGGCTGTGCCCCGCAGACCACTACTGGGACTTCCACCCGCACCACGTGCACAGCGAGTTCGAGAGCTTCGCGGAGAACCACTTCACGGAGCTGCAGAGCGTGCAGCCCCCGCAGCTGCAGCAGCTCTACCGCCACATGGAGCTGGAGCAGATGCACGTGCTGGACACCCCCATGGCGCCCGCCCA